TTTTTTTTTTGGCCAGGGCCAGGTTTGTACGCACCACCTCCAGCATATGAGGCTGGTGCCCTACTCCTTTGAGCCACAGGCACCTCCCTGAATTGTTATTTTCAACATTTGCCCTTTACTGTTTGTCCTTGCTTACATTTGTGAAGTGGATAATAGACATTGACTCAAGAGACATCTGTGATATGACAATGAAATCTAGAGTTGGAGACAGTTCTTTTGGCTGGTGGTTATGTTAATGTGGGTAATGGTAGGAATTGCATTTGTCAGAATCCCTTTCCATCTTTAAATTTACCAGTAGCCTGACTTGTGCGAGATTTATAAGGAAGAAATGACAAAGTCATTACTAAGTCTTGAGGACCACAATAAATGGAGATAGACAGATGTACAGGGACACCATGGACACCAGCCTTCAGCTTATTTTCCAAATCCTTGGCCCTGCCAATCAAGAGTATCATCAAACCAGCACAAAGTGCTTGATTTCCTTTTCATCAGAAGTGTTCTCTTCCATAGCCAGCTCCATGAACTTGTTATCAAGGATACACCTGTGTGGTCAGGTACCCATAGTTTTGACTTTGCTGTAAACCCTACATGACCTCCAGACCATTGATGCAGACTGTCATGGTTGGCAACCTCTAATGTTCTGATTATTCTCTATATCTTAATATAGTTGTGTGAGGTCTAATTTGTTAGTGAACACCTTATTCTCTTAATACTTCTAGTGGCTCTGTGATCCTGGTTCCATCACAAGGCTACAGTGTTGCAGGAAAACAAGAAAACCACACATAGAACTTTGTTATCCTTTTGTACTTTGTGCTTATCCAGTCCTATGTGAGAATAAATACCTTCCTCATATATTAGATTTAGAGACATTTCTGTCACCCAAAGCTGAATACAGAATGCAGTTCCTTGATATGGGTTTAATTATTAATTATTATTTTTGTGTGTCAATTAAAGACAAATTTTTTCAAGGAAAATGTAAGGATGTACCTTTTTCTTTTTTTAAAGACAGTCTCACTTGGTCACCCTGGGTAGTGTGCCAAGGCATTATAGTTCACAGCAACCTCAAACTCTTGGGCTCCAGCGATCCTCTTGCCTCAACCTCCTGAGTAGCTGGGACTACAGGCACCTGCCACAACGCTGAGCTATTTTTAGAGATGGGACCTTGCTCTGACTCAGGCTGGTCTCGAACTTGTGAGCTCAGGGCAATCCACCCATCTCAGCCTCCCAGAGTGCTAGGATTAAAGGCAAGACACTATGCAGGGCCCAGGATATTTCTTAGAATTATCCTGTTTACTGTGTTTTCAAATCAGTTGTATACTGACTGCATTATTTTCCTAAGGCTGCCATAACAAAGTACAAAGACTGATGGATTAGGACAATGGAAACTTTTTGTCCAAAAAAGTCAGAAGTCCAAAAACAAAGGTGTTGACAAAACCATGCTCCCTCTGAAGATGTTAGGGAGGGGGATCTGTGTTAGGTTTCACCTGGCTTCTGGTAGTCCCTTGACTTGTGGTAGCATAACCCTCATTTTCACCTAGCATTCTCCTTGTGTATTGGGCCATCTGTTCATATGGGCCTTCTCAGGGGAGTTGCTGGGGATCCCGGGATTTAGGCTCTGTCCTCATTTGATTCCCAGGACACTGCAGAATTCCTTCACCCAGCCTTGGTTTTATTTCTTGCAGAGGCATTAGTTGTAGGGCACTGGCACTGAGAGGGAATGACAGAAACGACTCCAGCCCCTCAGATTCTCACAGTTGAGGATCACCCCAGTGAAGTGGTACCACCATTCAACAAAGCAAGATGCACTGTAGTCACACAGCAGGGTTAAAAGCCAGTGTCTGAGATGGTGCTAGGGGAGTGCTTCATGAACAGGTGGAGGGGGGACACCTCAAGCGGTTGGATGGCATAACCTGACTCTTGTGTCACACGGATCTGTGTCCTGCTCAGCCCTTCCCCCTCCCCGCCCCCTTTAAAAGACTTATTTAGTTACTGGAGCCTCAGATACTTTTTTAGAGTAAATGTAACATACATATATATAATGAAAAGAGTGAATGATAAAATGTTTCCTAAGAGGCAACTGAGGTGAATTCACAAAAAAATAAAGTTTCAGTTTTACATTGCATTTGTTAAAAATTCTTCTGTCCTTTTTTTTTTTCCTGTTGTCCTTTTTTTGCCCGGATAGTTAAGTCTCTGAAATCTCTCTGTGATGACAAATGGGATTCCAGGGCCTAGCCTTGAGAATGCTCCTGGGGAAGGGAAACTCAGAGAAATAGAATAAATTTCTCTTCTATTATGATGCCCCCCAAATGAATACATTTCTACAAGAAAAAAGTGTTTGGCATGTAAATTGGTGAATTGCAGAAACTCACTAACTATCAGTTATTCTTTTGCAGGGTAGAGAATTTGTGCCAATAGGTAATTCTGTGCTCTCTTATCTGGACTTAAGAGATGAATGCAAAATACTATGTCATGAAATTTGTACCACCTAGAAGTTTTGAAATCTGATTATTTACAAAGCATTTTGTTATAGAAATAAATGAGTGACAACTTTATTTTCTGAAAGGAATAGCTATTTGTGGTTTCCTTTCTAGGCTATAAAAATCAATTAATTTTTCTTCCCTTCTCTGTTCTCTTCCATCAAATACTGAGTTTCAGTAATTTACTGGATTCTTCAGACACTGAGTTTGTCTCATTTAAAATATCCAAGGGGGCCCAGTGTGAGTGTATAACATGGAGTAGAGAGCAGGGCTTTGGGGCCAGTGACTCAAGTTAAAGCCAAAGGGGAGTCTCCAAAGGGAGGAAGATAAAGCTTGTTCTTTCTGTGGCGCCTCCCCTGGCAGATGTCTGAGCCTCTCAAGTCATCTGCAGAAGCAGCTGGTTATACTGGAGAAAGCTGAGCATTAGGAAGCTAGGATCCACATGCAGGTGTAGTTGGGGGTGATGCCCTGTCTTTCTTTCTTTTTTTTTTTTTTAAGATAGTCTCACTTTGTCACCCTCAGTAGTGTACCCCAGCATCACAGCTCACACCAACCTCAAACTCTTGGGCACAAGCAATTCTCTTGCCTCAGCCTCCCAAGAAGCTGAGACTACAGGCACCCACCACAACACCCATCAATTTTTTAGAGACGGGCTCTCACTGTTGCTCAGGCTGGTCTCAGACTCCTGAGTTCAAGCAATCTACCCGCCTCAGCCTCCCACAGTGCTAGGACTACAGGGGTAAGCCACTGAGCAGGCCTAGGGTGATGCCCTTTCTGAGGTTATAATTGCTATTGTCTTGGGCCATTGTTTTGTGTCAGCAGGTCTGGTTTGGCATTTACAGAGTTGGATGGGTCAATGGTGCAAACTGAAAAAGTCTATGATGTTCAGACTAAAAGAAAGACTTCTCTGGGTGCTGATTCTTAGAAAAAGGGATGAATTTAAGTTTGGGGGTCAGAACTTAAACTGAGTCCTGCTGAGAGTTTCCTTGTTTGTGGGGATTGAAGTCATGGGGGATGGAGTGTTTCTACCCTGTGTGGATGGAGGATGGGGAGCCTCCAGAGCTGCTTCCTAGGGCTCCTCAGGTCCCCCTGCCCTTGATCACTGGGACTGTCCCACCCTAATGGCTATATTTTTGCAGCAAGAATCTGGCCCCCAAGATTGGGAATGTGTTTCAGCTTCTGAATGTTAGTTTTCCTTGCAAACTGTAGATGAAAGTGTTTTTTTTATTTGAGCTGATGGAAAGGTTTGATTTTCTTCCCTTTTCATTCCTTTGTCAAATATTGTTACCAACTAACTCTAGTTTCCCTAAGCATTTAGTAATCTTTTTTTTTTTTTTTTTTTGTAGAGATAGAATCTCACTTTGTCACCCTCAGTAGAGTGCTGTGGTGTCACACAGCTCACAGCAACCTCCAGCTTCTGGTCTGAGGCGATTCTCTTGCCTCAGCCTCTGGAGTAGCTGGGACTACAGGTGCCTGCCACGAAGCCTGGCTATTTTTTTTGTTGCAGTTTGGCCAGGGTTGGGTTTGAACCCACCACCCTCAGTATATAGGGCAGGTGCCCTACTCACTGAGCCACAGGCAGCGCCCAACATTTAGTAATCTTATTTCCTTGTTTGGATGTGTAAGAATTTTATTTTTGAGAGTCAAAGTGAGAGATAAAATTCAAGATGATAATTCTGGAAGCATGCATATTTGTCTTCCTTTTTGGCAAGGTAACCTTTAGATATGAGAGAGTGTATTTAAATTCCCAGATTCGGCTTGGCTCCTGTGGTTCAAGCGGCTAA